CTAAGTCTTAAGCTATCAATTTAAAGAAAGCTTTTTTACTCTTTAAATTAGCAGCTCGGCACTTTTTTGTTAAAGACCGCGTTATACTTTATTAATAGCGACGAAATTGCTAAACGGTTATTATATAACGTAACTTTATATTATTAGCAAAATATAAATATTTAAATAAAATAAATGCTTATTTATGCGTGCTAACGTGTTAATTGCCGAGTGACCTTCTTTATCTTTTTATCGGTAATCGAGACGTATTTATCGCGAAGTATATTATTATTTTCTTCTTCGTCTTTTCGCAAATTAAATTCTTTATAAACTTTTTTGTTTAAATTGAATGCTTTATCAACTTAATCGCTATTTAAGTATTTTTTATTATTGAATCTAGTTATAAAAGAAGCGGCTTGTATAGCAAGATTATTTGCGTAGATGCTTCGATTCTTTTTAAAATCGATTAGTAAATTGCTTAGTAAATCAAAGAAAAGAAAAAGTACCGTTCATTTATAAGATTCTTTCGCATTTCGGCTTATCGAGTTTTCTTTTTAGCTTTTAATGCTTAAGAATATTTTAAAGTTTGTTTTTAAATTGCAAAAAGCTAATTAGCGGCCGCTTAATCTCGTCTTTTAGCTTTTCGAAGCTTATCTGCTTAAAGATCTTGTTTCAGCTTTGCTATACGAGCATTAGCTTTTATCGTATAAAGATTAGTTGATAATTGGCTTCTCTTTAGCTTTCTTTTTTAAGAAAAATTAATAAATTAATAAAAGTTAAAATACTACGTAAAAAAGATACTTACTTTGCGCTTGCTAAGGTTTCTTAGCACCGGATTGCTTGCTGTTACGATTGCTGTCGTATCGGCCGCATTCTAAGAAAGACGTTTTTAATTAGTAAATAGATTAGTAAATAAGAAAATGATTTTTATTATAGATTTTTTAATCTTTTTTATTAAATTAAGCTGATTTGTATTTGCAATGATACTTTTTATCGAATCAAGCTGATAAGCGGCTATATTGAATAGTATTATAAAGAAGCTAAACGTTAAGAGTAATTGTTTAAAGTAAAATCAAAAGTAATAGAATAAAAGTGTTAAGATTAAAAGTGAACTCGTACATTCTATTTTTAAAACATCTTAGCGCGGCCGCTAATAAATTTACGAAGTGATAAAGCAGCCGCAGCTAAGATAAAGCGGCCGCAGCTAAAATAAAGCGGCCGCTTCGCGCAATTTTTACTTTATAAAGTAAAGTTTAATTCTTTTTTACTATTACTTAATAATTAATTACAATTATCGCTTTCTTATTTGCTACGCTTTTAAATACAACGCTATTTATTGCTTTATAAAGTCGTCTTTTTCTTGTTTAAAATTATCAACTTATTAATCGTAAACTAAATTATCGCGATCAAGTCTTTTTATTAATACTTTTAAATAGCTTTTTTACTAAACGAATCTTTGCTTTCGGACCGACTTCTTTTTATCGATATACTAAGCATTACGGTTAAAAGAGATAACGCAAGCTAAGATAAATTAATTGATAAAGCAATTAAGAATCAAGCGATTAAAGGTCAAGCGGTTAAAAGTTAAGCGGCTAAAGGTTAAGCGGTTGAAAGTCAAGCGGCTAAAGGTCAAGCAGATAAGAACGAAACACAAAAAGGTAAAGCAGATATAATACGCGGCGAAAGCGTAGAAAAAAAAAACTTAAATTTGTAAAGTAAATAAAGTAAGTTTATATTTAATTAATCGAAATACTATTAATACTTTTTTAATTACTTTGCTTAACGTAAATCCTTATCTTTAGTTTAGCAAAGCTTAATTAGCTACGGATGCGCTAGACTTTACTTTTGTTAAACGCCGCGCTATTACAACTCGATAGCTATCCGGTTAGTATTTGATTAATAAATTGATTAGTAAATCAATTGCAAATAGCTGATAAGCATTTATAAAAATTCTTAACTTTACTTTTGCTAAGCGCCGCGCTATTACAACTCGATAGCTATCCGGTTAGTATTTGATTAGTAAATTGATTAATAAATCAATTGCAAATAGCTAATAAGCATTTATAAAAATTTTTGAAACTTCGCGCGGTATTGTAAGTCTATAATAAAGAACCGATTTATCTTCGTCCTTTTCTCGCTGAATTTCTTAAAGTTAAGCTAATAAGTATTAATTACTTTATTAATTAATAATTGTTAATTTCTATTATTTTAAATGACGCTTTTTAAACATTAATAAACTCTCGCGCAAATACAAATTAACACTTATTATCTCTTAGACTTCGATCCGGTAATGTTTTTAACTTATGATTAATAAATATTTATTAATTAAATTTTTCTTTAGCAAACGCAATTAGATTTACTCCGGCTATTCAATCTAAAATAAACAAAAGCATCGTTCTTAATAATACTAGCATAAGTACTAACAGCTTTTAATAAGTTTAATCTTTTTAAACTTTTTTTTTTCGTTCGCTAATTGTTTTAAAACTGCTTTAAAAGCAATATAACAATCGACGAGCTAAGCGAGTGCATCAGCTTAGCTTTAAAACGAAGATCCGTCTTACGACTTAAGTGCTAAAAACAATTCTTTTGCAGCTGCTAAACTTTTTTTTGCTTTTATTAACAATCGCATTAAAAAAGCTTTCGCGTAAAAAGCTTTTAAAAGGTCTTTTATTGTCTCGGGCTTAATTATAATTATAAAAACCGCGACGAAGACGATGCTTTATAATGATACAGATAAAGAAAAGTAAAGCGATGATAAAAAAAACTCAAGTGAAAATGATATTCCTTTTTTTTAATATAAAAGAATTAAAAAATCACTTTCGACGGCTAAAGCTGCTCGCTCCGTTCTATTAACTAGCAAATCACTTTCGGCAGTTAAAACTTCTTTTCGTTAAAAATCCAAAAAAAGCAAGTATCTTAAGAAGTTTATAATTGTTATAAAAAAAAAAGGTTTAAGCTAACGAAAGCGCCGTCGCTACAAGTCAAGAAGTAAGTTTAATTAATTAATAAATTGATTCTTAAGTACAATTACTAATTTATATAGCTATTGCGTTAAAAGAGATCCGACGATACTAAAAAAGCATCGAGCTTCTTATTAAAAAGACTCTTTTCTAGCGTTTTGTTCGAAAGATCACTTACGATTTTAAACAAGACTTTAAATTTCAAAGCGGTGCTTTAAAATGTTTATAAAAAGCTTTAGAAGCATTCTTCGTAAAAGAGTTTAAAAGTAAGTACTTATATATTTATTTACTAATCGATTTACTAATCGATTTACTAATCGATTTACTAATCACTTTTAATAACGAACTTATATGCTATTTACGCTAAACGAGTAACGATTCAAAACAAAGATATAGCGTTAGTTAAGAAATTGCGAGAAATCATAATTAAAAGTTTTGTTTAGTAATTTTAATTTATTATAATGTAATGCAATGTAATTGTAAAGTATAACATATATGATTAATAAATATAATAAATAAATATAATAATTAAGTAAAATTAATAAATATTCGTAAATTTGTTTTATTTTTAACGGCTTTACATATATTATTTTTAGCTGTCCCACTTTAAACTTATAAGGTTTCCCCATCCTTCGTAAGGAATTTGACTTAAAAAAATCCTCTTTATAAGGTTTAAAAAAAAAAGTCCCTTATCGGCCAAGACCTTATAAGGAGAATGGGGAGGAAAACCCTATGGGGCCCCCACCCCATAGAGCAGCCTACTCGGTTGATAAAGTATTTGAATTCTATCTGCTCTTTAATCCTTAAAAGAGCTGATTCCTTTTATATAATTAAAAGAAATCACGTATATTAGCTAGCTAATAAGTTTACTTGTCAAGTTGAGGGTCCTTTGACTATTAGCATGCTAAGCGAGGCATGCCAAGTGGCCCGTGAACCATGGTTCACGGGTGAGCTTCCTCAACTACTATTACTATTACTACTACTAGCCAAGGTCGATATGGATATACCGACAGAACCGTTAACCTTCGCCGCTTCTTCGCCGACGACGATAAACTACTTTCTTTTTATAAGCTAACTAACCTTCGCACTTTAGCTAGGTTCAACATCTTTAAAGCTTTCTCTTTAGCTTTTTAAGGTCGCGCTCGTATCGAGCAGATCTTTAACCTTGAATAAAAGCTTTTAAACGGTGTAAGCTACCGCGTACGCTATTAGCAAGCCCGCGTCTTCGATAACTTAAAAGCTTTCGAAAAATACTTCTTTATAAAACGCTAGCGCAAGAACTACGTTTTTAATCAAACCGAAAGAATAGCTTACTTGTTCTTAACCTTTTTAGTTATGAATCGTAACAATTTCGTAACCGCTCTAGAACTCGTTTAGATCGCTTTTAAGTTCTTAAACGACTTCGCTAAAAAAGCTAAAGCGTTAATTAAGTTCGAAAAACTTTATATAAAGCTTAATTAGCAATTTTAAGACTTTTACTTTATTTTCTCGGAGCTTGCCGTTACCGCCGAAATCAAAGACGAGAACCGATTACGTAAAGCCTTGCGTTTTAAGATCATTAAAACGCTACGCGACTAGCTTTATTTAAAATTTGCTAAGATTATTGTTGGATTGCTTCTAAGCGATTGGGAATATATATTCGTAAGGTCGTAACGGTCGTTAAAGTACTTGCAATTGCAAAACACTCGGTTGATAAGGTATCTGAATTCTGTCTGCTCCCTAAGGCTCAAGGGAGCTGATTCCTTCTATACGATTAGAAGGAATCACGTGCACTAGCTAGCTAATAGATTTACTTGTCAAGTTGAGGGTCCTTTGACTGCTGATATGCTAAGCGAAGCATGCCAAGTGGCCCGTGAACCATGGTTCACGGGTGAGCTTCCCTAACTACTACTATTACTACTATTACTATTAGCTAAGGTCGATATAGATATACCGACACCGGCAACTCTTTCTTTGGCAAATAATGCTTTGCTAACTATTATATCGACCGAAAAAAAAAAAAGGAGGTAATTAAATAAAGGAAAAACAATCTCCCTCTTCTTTTTATAGCGGCCTTTTTATCTATCCATCGACTTGCACCTTTAAAGTATTAGTCAAAACTAGCTCTTGCAAAGAGATATTGGCCCCGATTTTGGTTATAGCGTTAGCAAGGTTAAATTTGCTTTCGATCTAGCGTACTTTAGAAAGCTCTCGCCTTTCGTATAACTCCCGAATAGCTATAATATCGATCATTAGACGCTTCTTCTTAGTAGTCCTCAGTTTTACTATGCATTCGTAAAGCGAGTAAGAGTTAGTGCACACGATTACAAGGAAGTTAAGGATTCTTAGCTGAGCCGTGATTTAAGCAAAGGTAATCGATATAGCAATGGCTATATCGATACTTAAGGACATCGCGTATAACTCAAAGGCTAATACTGCTCTTGTCACTCTCTTGCACTTCTGTGATACTTAATGTAAGATGTTACCCGTTAAAGTAAACTCGTTCTCACTTACGTAAGCCTTATTGCTAAGGATAGCTACGAAACCGATCTGAGAGCTGAGGTCAGCGTTGTTGGCAAACGCTCCGTCCACGAACACAAAGAGCTTCGCAGTCTTCAGGTCTAAAGGCACGTAATAGATCCCTCGAATTGGGTGATCGATCAGCTACTAGATCACCTTATTAAGGGCTTTGTAGTCTTCGTCTTTCGGTTCTTAATGCTAGGCGGCTATCGATAAAGCGCAAGATGCTTTTAAGTAGCAAATGGTAGCTAAATACGCCCTTCGAGCACGTTGCTCTAAGTACTCTTTAGCCCGTGTGGCTGAATCGAGCTTGATCACTGCAAGCCTCTCACCCTGCCCCTTTTGCTTAACTGACAATCCGAACCTTTTTTTATCTAAGGATAGCTTGCATCTATTGAAAATCATTGGCTCGGCGTGTGTGAAGGTCTCCATTTCCTTGCTCCTTAGCTTGAATTTGACCAGCTTCTTCTCTTCCTTTGCTTTTATAGCTGGATTGACAACTATAAGAATATTATCCGTTTGTAAGGCAGCTATTCTTAGCTGATCTTTGTTAGTTGACATAAAGAGGCAAGAATCAAAGCTCGATTGCTTCATCTCGAGGTTGTCCGTGAAATGCTTTAAAAAACGCTTATACTAATGCGTTCCTGCTTCGGGGATCTTATATAAAGGGCCAGTTATAAAGAACAAAGTGCCGGGGGGGAATCGATAGGTGATCTCTTTAAGTGGTCGTACGACGATTATTCGAATAAGCTTCGTGCTTGACTGAGTATAAGCTTGAGTGATATCTTTGCTATAGACTTGACACTCGTAGTCTTTTATCAAAGAAAGAGCTAGAGCACAACAAAGTCTTTAGCTCGCTCGCTGCACCGTAAGTGACTCGATGAGTACTCTCGTTTTACCTTTATCTTGGAAAGCTTAAACCATTATACGAGACTTTTCGTATAGCGTAAGTGTTCCTTTGCCTTTGATCTTATTAACAAACTTAGATCCGAAGATCTTGGCGCTCTTAGCGCGTGGGTCGGTGCCCGAGATCACTTAAAGGATGCTTTAAGCTATTAATCTAGCTAATTCTTTTGCTCTAGACTCTTAAAATAGTGCTTCGGGGCTCTTGATGATTCCTTCGGCTCGTAGCTTAGCTGAGAGCTCATAGTCCCGGCGTTCCTTGTCGGTAATCAATACTTCGGAGTCTTTGGTGAATAAAACGTAAGAATCGCCTTTCTTTTCGTCGGGCACGGTCGGGATACTAAGATCGTACTTTTAATAAAGTATTTAGATTATTAATATTATTGACTTTTAAGGATTAGCAAGTTGAGGGTTAAGGGGGCTGTTTATTGGTCTTAGCGAGCTTCTTAGATTAGGCGACCTCGGTGGATTAGGCGAATATTAAGGTTTAAGCGAATTTCGTATTTCCAGCTCTTTTTCGCTTTCGCTTTAATCATCTTCTACCTTTTTTTTTACCTTTTCTTCTACTTCTACCTCAAGTACTTGCAACTCTTTTGGCAGCTTTTCAACTTCAAAGTAGTAAGGTTTTATTGAGGTTGACTTGAATTCCGTAAGCCTCGGACAAGCTATTGTGTACGTATGCTCTTGCCTGCTAAGCAGCTGAAAAAGGCCTTTCTACCTTTGGTTTTCCCGCTACACTAGCACCCGTGAGCTAATAAGGAGGTTTAGGGTATGCTCCGTAATTGGGCTATTCCTCCTTTTGAGCGCGTTCTTAACCTGCTTCGCAGCGTAGCATTTTCGTATTTCCCTTATAGCCTTATTAATAGCAGCAGCACGCTCTTAGGTAAACGCGGCAGGTCGATCTTGCTCCGTCAGCTTCGGTAAGGTCTTAAAAACGAAAAGTATAAGAACCAAGCTATTAAGTCTAGCTGTGTCGTTGATGGCTTTGATAGTTATTTAAAGCCGGTCTTCCTTTAGGGCTTTTAAAAGCTCTTTTGTGACGATCTCAAAAGCGCGTCGCACAAAGACGTAGTAGCGTTCCACTAGCCCGACGCTGTGATAGGCTTTTACAAGCATCTGCCTTAAGGTGCTGCTAATACTTTTAAGGTAGCTTCGAAACGTTACCGAATTGAAGTTGGTTCCGAGATCGTGCACTACGTTTATAAAAGGTCCGACGTAAGTATTGACTTAACATCGATTGAATCCCTTAAGTAAGTGCTGTGCGGACATGCTTTTAAAGAAAGTAGCGGCTTGAAAATTAATAGAATCGCAAACGACGTGTAATACGTTCTTGCCGTCAAAGTGCATTACGTCTACGTATACCGTATTATTGAAGTCAATATCGTCTTTAAGTCTGATACTAAACCTCTTTGAAGAGCGTCCGAATACTTAGCAATGATAGCAAAACTTTTGGATATTATAAAGCAAATCTCGCTTAAATTCGTGCCCGGCCTTTTTAAGAACAGCAGCAAATCGATCTGCTAAAGGGTGGCCAAAACGCTTGTGGATAGTCTTTAATTATTCTTTCGTAAAGTAGTAATAGACGGTCTCGCCTTCGGTATTATAATAAGTAGCAGCGTGCTCTTTACTCAATAGCATCTACACGTGCTTAAACATCCTTATTATTAGTATTTCTTTTTTCCTTTAGACTAGCACGTTCCGCAAGTTATTTAAGATCACCTTATGCTTGTCTATGTCAGCTAATAAGAGTAAGAAAGGTACGTCGCTCTTTATAACGTAGAACTCTACTTGACTTAAAGAGGTATCTAAGGTAACTGCTCTAATAAAAGTGGCAGAGCCGATGCTGTATTTAACGGACTTCTCCCTTGCCCGGAATGTATTTAATTAGACCTCGAGGTACCTCTTTTAGAGTGCTCGTAGCTAAGGCAAGCTAGCGATAAAGAAATTAGCTGCTTCGCTATCAATCATAAGGCCTATGAACACGTTTTCAAAGTACTTAAAGGCCATGTAAGTCTTTGCCTTACCCGCGGGCATACGCGGATCTTGCTCGAGCATCTTTTAAGTCTTTACTTAGCTGGTAAAAGCGTAGAATGCCGTCTGAATCTCTAGCTGTTTATATACTTCGTTAGCGTTAAAGGTGCCGTAAGTAATTATAAAACCTTCCGATATATTAGCGTGGCTGCCCGATTCGAGTGGCTCGTCTAATAAGCCTGCGATGAACTGATCGAATTCTTTCGTAGATACAAGTAGCTAGCCTTCGATCGACGCTACGTATTAAGAAAATTTGCTTCTCGTCACCCTTTTTGCGTCTTTAAAGGCCTAGAACTTGGCGACGGATGCCTTCCTTTCGTCGGGGGTGTGGTTAGTGCTCTAGCAACCTGGCTTTTTGCAAACAAAACACCTTTTCTCACCTTTAATAGCCTTAGCAGCTTTCTTACCTCCGAAGTATTGACGGTCTTGAATAAAGCATTCGTATTCCTCGTCCAAATCGAAGTCAGCCTCTAAGGTGTTGTGCTAAGAGCAAGTGTGATCGTGTAGCTCGTTAAAGCTCGCGTAAGCTCTACTCGCTTTGGCAAGAGGTCGAGAGGTCTCAGTTGCAAACGCAATAGCTTTGCGAATGTCGGCAACTGCGGCGGTAGAAGTAAAGGCAAGGTTCATTCGTGTAATCGTAGTCTTTAGCACGTTTTTATAAGCTAAATACAGCTTGTCAGCAAGACTTCGATCATCCTTTAAACCTAGTCGTAAAGAGCCTTGAATCTCTTTGAGCTCTTTAGCGAGCTTCTCAAAGCACTCGCTAAGCGAGGTCTTTAGATTCTCTTTCTTAATCAAATCTAGCGAAATTTCCTCTTAGCGGTCGTATTTTGCTTGCCGCCGGTGGTCAGTTTCGAAGTGGTCCTTTATTATAATAGCGTTTGCCTTGAAAGTCGGAAGTCTGGCTTTGATAACGTGATTATAATAAAAGGTTATAGCTTCTTTTATAAGCATAATCGAGAACGCCGCTAAGTAGTCCCCGGAGGTTAAACCGTATCGACTTGCTTGGTCAGCAAAAATTTTTAATTAAGTCTTAAAGTCATCGTCGAGTCTTAAATACTTTAGCTCCTTAAGAAAGCTTCGCGCGAATAAAGCTAATTCCTTCGCTCTTAAGTAAGGGTCTGCTGCCCTTAGCTTAAGGAAATCGTCTCTATCATCGTTAAAAGCGCTTAAAATGCCGTACGCAGGCGTGCTTTGCTTAGCTAATAATCTGATCGGTAAAAGGTTATTAATATAATTGCCGATGGTCCGTCCTCTTTTAAGGTCTTTAAGAGGCTCATTTTCGAATCCGGGGTCCTTTGAAAGTCCGTTTCCGAATCCTTTTGATAGTCTAAAGAGGCCGTTCTTACCTTTTCCGTACCCGTAGCTTCGATCTCTTTGCTAATCTCCTTCGTTTTCTTTTCGTCGATCATCGTCAGGATCGCTAAGGCTATTCGGGTTATCGGCTAAAGCTTTAGCTTAGTAATATCCGTACTCTTAAGCGCGCTCTTAGCGATTCTTATACCCTTAATATCCTTTTTGTCGATACGTAGCTTATTAAAAGATCTAGGGAGCTTGTCGGTACGTCCGAGGGTGCTAGATCCCCTTTTCGGGTTGCTAAGGTTGGGCACGGAAATCTGTACGCTATCCTTAGTAAGAGCTGATTTTGTCCGGAATGCTCTTAGGTTTTGGCGGGTCCTCTTTTAACGTGTAGCTGCTATTGCCTTGCGTATTATTAAGCCCGATTATGTTTTCGGGGCCGTTGTTGTTGCTACTCGGCTTTGGATTTTAAGAAACCCGGTTATAGCTTTTAAGAAAAGGGTTTAAAGGCCGCTAAGGTGATTTTGGCTCTTGTATGATTGGCGTATTGCGTAGCGGTTGCTGAATTGAGGGCGTCGAGTACGCTGAAGTGCTTCGTCGTAGCCTTTCGTTAGATTGTATAGCGTAAGTCCGTAACTCCGCTATTTGCCTTGCTATCACTTCTATATTTTGCTTTATATTCCTTTTCTCTTTCGCAAATTCCTTGCGTAACCTCCGAATCTCTTCCCTTTTCTTCTTTGATACCTCCTTTTCCTTCCTTTTTAAACTTCGTAAGAGTGATAGAGATAGTTAAGGCGTATTATCTTCGTCGTCCGTGAGGTTTTCGGCGGTCCACTTTGAATCGAGGCCTAGGGGTGCTGCTTGCTGCTCTTTTATTTCCTAGAAGGTTCATTAGTATTGCTGCTCGTCGTTCAAGAGCTTGACCATCTTATTAGCGTAGCCCTTTTGCTTTAAGGAGCACCACACGCTTTTGGATAGCAAGTGTTCCTTGAAGCTAATAAAGGTAGCAAACTTAAGGCCTCGTCCCGTATTATCCCTCGTTATTATAAAACTAGTCTAATCTTAGCGTAAAAAAGCGTGCCGGAATAGGCTTTACAAGTCGTAATCCTTTAGCCCTTTACACTTCGCATCCAAGAAGTCGTTCATTATCGCTCGAGCCGTGATCTCACTATCTGGCCTTGCGTATAGTAGCTCGTTTAAGTCAAATGAGATGCCCGACATCTCGTCGTCTAGTCCTTCCGAAAGGCTTAAGAGTCCTGGGTATAATAGTCCTTTTAGCTAAATAGCTAGGGGTTCCGTAGATAGTGATAAGACTCGAAAGGTATAATACCCTACTGCTCTTTGTCGGCTGGATTCCTTACTTAAAGGTCCAATTGCTCGATCGGCTATAGTTGTTATTTGCTCGTACGTAGATCGATCGTATTAGTTGGGTTTGCTGTATATAGCAAGCGCGGCTCTACAGCTTTGAAGGTTGTATAAAAGTGACTTGGTTCGGAATCACTTTTCCGTAAGAATAGAGGAAAATCAGTAGTATAAGAAGCGACTTGGTACGGAATCGCTCTTCCGTTATAAAAGAAAAGAGGTATCGTAATGAAAGGTATTTTCGCTATAAAGTATTCCTAGCTTCTCTGTGATTGATCACTTAATAATAAATCAACCACTGATTAGTGTTGGATTGCTTCTAAGCGATTAAGAATATATATTCGTAAGGTCGTAACGGTCGTCAAAGTACTTGCAATTGCAAAACACTCGATTAATAAGGTATCTGAATTCTGTCTGCTCCTTAAGGCTCAAGGGAGCTGATTCCTTTTATACGATTAAAAGGAATCACGTGCACTAGCTAGCTAATAGATTTACTTGTCAAGTTGGGGGTCCCCTGACTGCTGACATGCTAAGCGAGGCATGCCAAGTGGCCCGTGAACCATGGTTCACGGGTGAGCTTCCCCAACTACTACTACTACTACTACTACTACTAGCTAAGGTCGATATGGATATACCGACAATTATAACTTTTAAAGACTTTTAAACCGCCGTTTAGCAATTAGCTGCTAACTAATACGCGTTTGCAAAGCTTTACGATGCTTTATAAGTTAAGTATAATACTTAATTCGCGAAGAGCTTTTATAATAAAGCTCGTAACGAATCCCGCTCGGCTTAAAAAGCAGCGGTTAAGCAAATCACTTATTACGAGAACCGTTAAAATAGCTTAGCTTTCGTCTCTTTTTCTATTTTTTAACGCTAAACCTTTAATAGCCTTAACGCTAATATAGATCGATTTAATCGATTTAATAAATTCTTTTCTTTCGAAAACGCTTTTAAATTAGCAATTAAAACTTTTAGATCGTTTCGCAAGGACTCGAATACGCTAAAGCTCTTCCGCTACTATTTAATCAACGAGATAAAATACGGCGCTAGATTTAAATACGGCTCTTATTCGAATGACTCGGACGATAAGCTTTATTCCGACGCTTTTAAGGATTATTAAAAGCTCCTTTTTGCTAACTCCGACGCTCTCGATAATAAAAGAAACGTCGAAGCTTAAGCAAAGCTTTTTTTTTAAGCTAGCTTCGAGATATGCGATACTTCGACTTTACGAAGCTCTTTAATAGTAAAGCTATGATTATACTCGTTACTTTTATTAAGAATAGCCTTTCGTATAAAGTATCTGCTTTGCTCGACTTAAAAGCTAATAAGTACGCGCTAATTAATTTAGCGTTACTTAAATCACTTTCTTTTTTTCTTAAACTTTTAATTCAACCCTTTTCAGCTTTATTTTTTATTAAATCATATAATAGAGTTCGTAGAGCTATTATCTTATATTTTGCACTTCTTAACTTTACGGTTAATAAGCGCGTTTAATCTTTTACTTTTATTATTATTATTAACTTTAGAAATCATAGCGTGATCTTCGGACGAGCATAGCTAATTAAGTACTAGATTCTCTTTAATTGCGCTCGTTGCAAGCTTTATTAATTTCGTTTTAACTTTTCGACCGCTACTTAAGCTAAACTTATTAAGATTATACACTTTAATTAGCGTAAGATAAACGCTCGTTATTAATACGACGCTAATAAGCGTGATCGAGCTTTAGACCGCTTTTAAAGAGCTTACGACGCTAATTCACTTATAAACTATAGTTTACGAGTAGATTAAATAGCAACGATAATCGTAAAATCACCTTTTTCTTTTTAAAATCGTCTTTTTTCCGCTTTTTCTTTTAAGATCGTTAAACCTTTTTCTTTTATTCACTTTTTTATAAAGCCGTTGTGACGACCTTAAGCGATTACTTGAAGGAACTTACGAGAGCGCGAAGGTTTATATAAAAGCTTAAGAGAATCTTAAAGTAATGACTTAGAATCAACAATTATCGAGTGTAAAGGTCGAAAGTAATTAAAGTTTATATATACGAAAGTAAAAGCGCTAAAGACTCGTAAATTATAGTTTATAAGTTAAAAGCGAAGAATAAGTAAATACGAAAAATACGAAAGAAAAAAAGAAAGAAATAGCTTAGCGCATATAAAATGCGTTTAAGAGATTTAACGTATCGTTATATTATTTTTCCGTTCGAAAAAAGCTCGTCTTCGAGCGTCTATTTATTATTTTATTATTGCTTAAATGATCGTAGTTATTAATACCGTTCGAATAAGCTTTAATCTATTCGAGAAGCTTCGCGAAAAGGCCGAAGAGCTTTTTATGTTTTAAGTAAAAGTTACGTACTTTAAAAAAAGCGTATATAAAGTCGAAAGCGGAGTATTAAGTAAAGTCAATATCGCGGCCGAGTTAAAAAGCGCGGTACTTAAAATGCTTTTTAATTTAGCGTACGGTTAAAATGTTTTTTACTTTGTATTTAAGTTCGCTAATAATATTAATCGAGTCAAGTTTAAGAATGATTTGCTCGAAAGTAAAGTTATTAAAAGCTTTTCGTAGCCGTTCGAAGTAAAAGATTAAATAAACTTTTATTGATTCGAAAAGCTTAAGTTTAAAGCTATTATAAACGTTATCGGTAACTTCGAACGGTCCGTTCGTAAAGTTATCGAGCTTTTTTAACGGTCGAAAAGTAAAAAACGAGCGCATATTTAACTAAACTTTATTATTAACGTTAAAGTTAATCGAACGCTTTAATTTATTAGCTTATTTAATTATACGGTCTTAAGCGCGCTAAAAGTGCTTTTTAACGAAGTTTTAAGCTTTAAAGTAGCGGTTAGCGTAAGCGCGAGCTTCGTTTTAATTAAGCTTATAAGAAAAGGTTTAATCGTTAAGTCGTTTTAAGCTTTAATTTTAAGTGGTCCGAAGAGCGTAGCCGTAGATTACTTTAAAAAAAGAAAAACCGCCGAAAGAGTCGTAAAAAAGCGTTAATTAAGCGAAGTCTATTATAAAAAAGAACTCATTTTAATCGTTTTAATAATAGCTTACGAAAAGACGAAGGCGCTTTTGCAAGTATTAATTGTAGATTTCGATTTAACCGTTAATCTCGAAGTATACGGCGGTGTTAAAAGTTAATTTAGTATCGAAGATTTTATTAAATTTTTTTTAAAACTCGGATTAATATTAAAGTCTTTTATTAAAAGTTAATATTAAAAGAGCTTTAAAATACTTATAAATATAATAGATATAAAGCTTAGCGAAGCTTTTAACGTTCATAGACTTATAATAAAAAATCGAGATTATTTATTTAAAAAAGCGGTCGATTATTATAAAGACGTTATCGTAGTTATATTTGTCTTTATTAAAGCTATAAAAATCTATAATAACGTACTTTTAAAAGCGCGAAAAGATCGAGAAAAGTTAAAGCAAATTAAGTTTTTTATCGCAAAGCATTGAAGCTCGTTTGTAAGCGTAGCAATTGCGGTAATATTAATTAACGAATCTAGTTATATCGTATTAATAATATTATATTGCAAAAAGCTTATAAGTTTTACGAAAGCTAAAGTGTATTATAAATACTTAGTCGTAGACTTTTCGAACGAGTAACGAGCGTAAGTTTTAAACGTCGAGAATTAATAAGCGGCCGTTATAAAGCAGCAAGTCGCTTTTTATAATAAGTTTAACTCGTAAACTATAGTTTACGAATAAGAACTTAACTTTGAAAGCTTAAATTCGAAATGCTATAAAACTAAAAGCGGTTCGATTAGCTTTTAAGACTTGATTAATAACTCAAAATATCGATAAAAGCTCCGCGATCTTTTCGATAATAACGGCGGTCTTCGAAAGCATAAGTTAACGTAGCTTTTCGATTAAGAGTCGTAAGTCAACGTTATTAGCGCGGAGTAGCGTTTGCAAGCGTTAAGTGCGCTTAAAGCTATTTTAAGAAAAAAGCTTTTCGGTACGACGTATTAACGCGTTAATTAAAAAGTTGTTTTTACTTAATTTATACGTAATAATAAAGTTATAATCGAAAAAGAGCTTTGCTTAGCGTGCTTAACGAGCGTTAAAAGTCTTAAAAGTCATAAAGTACTTTAAAGCTTTATAATCGGTGATTACTTAAACTTAATAAAAAGAGCCGGCGAGTTCGGCGCGAAAGTTATTAAAAGAGCGTATAATAGCTAGCATCTTTTTATCGTAAACGACGTAATTAAGCTTAACGAAAGCTATGATTTTAAAATAATAAACGACTAATAATTAATCGGAATTATGCTTTTAAAAAAAGATTAAAACGATTACGCCGTCGAAAACGTTAATTTTTAGCATATAAAAGAAGTTCTGATTATAATGCTATAAGATTAACGCAATAATTAAAGCGAGCTTCAAAAGGTCGAAGCTCTTTTAATATTAAGAATTAAATAAAAAAAAACGTTAGCCTTAATCAAGTGCATTAAAAGCTTTGCGATCACGCTATAATTTCGAATAAATCAGCGGTAAAAGTTACAAAATCTAAAAAAGCTTTAAACGCTTTTAACAGTTGTAAAAAGCGCTTAATATTTTATTATCGACGTCTTATTCGGATCTACTTTTAAGCTTTTAATAAAAATAATAAAGCTTAAGTATTTTACTTTAATAATATTAAATTCGCACTTTTTAATATCAACTTAAAAGCTAGCGTCGTCGAATCGTTAAAGAACTTAGCGGACGTGATAAGCGTGCTTTAAAAGGTCGGAAGAATAGATTAAGATATCGTTTAAATATGCCGTGTAAAAGATATTTAAAAAGTCGAAAAAGAAGTCATTTATATAACGTTAATAAGTGGCGGGTCTATTAATCAATCCGAATAAAAGAACTTTGTA